CCCATCCTCTCCCCATCATCTCCATCCTCCCCACCTTCTTCCCATCTTCCCCATCCTCCCCACCCTCTCCCCATCCTCCCCATCCTCTCCCCATCCTCCCCATCCTCTCCATATCATCCCCACCCTCTCCCCATACTCCCCATCCTCTCCCCATCCTCCCCCCATCATCCCTATCCTCCCCATCCTCCCCATCCTTGCCACCATCAGCCTCACGGCCACCATTACTGTCATAAGAAGGGAAGCTCATGAGAGCGCAAAGCTGAGCTGAGTTGTCCACTCAAGGCCCAGGCAGGGGGTGCTGACAGCATGGGGTTTCCTGAGGGGCTTGGGTTCCTCTGATCACACACTCCAGTTCCGGCCATTTCCGCCTTGGACTTCCTGGATCAAAAGTGGAAACCGCCATCCCAGCACATAAAGATCCCAGCACCTCGGGGACTGCTCCCACCTCCCTGCACCCCGGGCCCCCCATTGAAGCGCTCAGGCCACTCAGACAGATTTCACATCAACACCGGCCTGCCGCTGGACAGCAGCCAAGCCCAGGCCTGGACATGTGGCACTTTTTGAAATTAAATTCTGCCAGAGGCTCTGCTCCCCAGCAGGGCCCCTCCTGAGTGCTCTTCTTGGGACATGCCAGACACTTCCGTCACAAGCTGCAGGTGTGGCATTAGTGGGGACAGTGAGAGTCTGAGCCTTTCTGCCAGCAGCGCACACTGCATTTCTCCTTGGTTTCCTGCTGGCAGATTTAGTTTTGCTTTTCCCTTTTCCCACTGGTGTCCGTGACCCAGGGCCGCCCGGGAGAGGCTCTGGCCCCCTCCTCTGTGTCCCAGGCTTATGACGACACTGGTAACGGGGAGGGACCCAGTCCACCTGATGGTGGCAGGTGCAGGAGACCTGTGGGGCTGTTGTGGGGGCTGGAACAAGGTGTGGCCCCACTGGGTGGCTGGTCACTGTTAGTGGGACAGAAGCCAGCGTTGCCAGGGTATCCACTGTCCCAGTGACAGGTGGCAGAGTCCAGCCACTTAGATCACGGCTCCTGCCACCCTCTGCTGGGCAGGTCCACTTCAGAGTGGCTTCCCTCTTCCTGGGGTGGCTGTTCTCTCATGCACGGTCCTATCACACCATAGGTCCTGAGCCTACTGAACCTGAAATGTGTCGAGCCTGCACCCAGCTGGTCCCCACCCACGGTGGCCCCGGTGTGCAGCAAGTCCACTCCCAGTTCTGCACTCTCACCTGGATGACTCTGGGGTGAGGAGAGCAGCCCTGAGCTGCTGGGCAGTGCAGAGAGGGCCATAGTGCCAGAGAGTGGGAGGTGACAGTGGGCTCTGGCCCCCAGGAGGGAGAGGAGCCCCCCTTCCCCTTCTGGTGTTGCCCACCTGGCACCAACCTCGCCTTCCCGGCCTTCAGGCAGCACCGGGCCTGAGAGGCTGTTAGTGGAAGAAGCATTGACCGTGTTCCTCACCTGGGTTGATGACTTG